TGGCAGTTGCTGTCTGTGTGAGAAGGGTTCAATGAGGGGGCCGTCTGAGTCCAGTTGCTCCCGGAGAGGTGTCCATTAAAGAAAATCCACCTCTGCAATTGTCGCTAACTAGGAGTCTGAACAGAGCAAGCAATGGCCTTGGGGCCTGGCCTCCCCTCCCCTCCAGGTCAGCGATGAAGCACAGGGGTGGTGGTGCGTTGTTCTGACACATCCCAGGCTGTACCAGTCCTGTGGAGAAACAGCACATTGGTCTCCAGCGTCGTGGGCCCGGAATGCCTCACCAGCCCTGCGTTTGCTTAAAAGAGAAATGGGCCTGAAACAGAGGCCCGGATCAGAACCTGGGTCTGGATCCGAGCTCATTGCTTGAACCTATTGCTGTGGGTCTAATCTGAGCACTGAATCCAAACGCTCTTCCAACTTTGGGATCCGGAGCCCAAGCCCCAAGTCTGGGGATGTTTGGATCCTGGGGTTTGGTTCTGCCCATTCTAGAGAGACAAGCTCCCAACCTGGGGTTCTAGTCCTGGGTCCACCTTGAAATCTTTTCCCCCTTCTTTTTTAACATTTGTAGCTTCCCCCCACTTTACTATTTGCCCTCTTCATTCCTAAATCATAGTCTCTCCAAATCGAGACAACGCTGTGCCTCACTTGGCTCACTGGCGTTCCTGTCGCTCTGGCTACGAGGCAAGGAGCCTTCTCTCTCTTTCTGTTATACCACAGATGTTTCGCTTGGAGGATTCTCAGCTCACTTTTACACAAATCTACTTTCTTCATAAGCTCCTTCCTGGCAGCTCTGACTGTGATTAATGAGCCTATACTCCTGGTGTTCAGTTCCATTTGCATTGGACAAACTTTCTCCCTCTTCCTCGTCTCCCCTGTCACCGCTTTCTCACCTATTTTGGCTTCCCGTGTCAGCTTGCCACACAGTCTGTCTGTCTGTCTTGTTTTTTATGCACCTTGCTTGGCTTCTTCACATTCTCTGGATGGCTTTCAGGGCTGGAGGTCATTTCCTGATCTCTCTGGTCCTTGATCCTCTACAAAAAGTCCCTGCCTTGCATGCATAAGAAGTGGATCCCTAGAGCTTAGAGAGACAAGGTGGGTGCGGGAGGCATTATTTGTTATGGGACCAACTTCTATTGGTGACAGAGACAAGCTTCCACAGAGCTCTTCTGCAGCCCAGAGACCCAGATGTTGGTATTAAAATCTTTAACCCTTGGGCCTCTGCCATTTTTCCACTGGGGTGGCCAGAGGAATGTTATTTGGGGGCGGAGGAGGGAGAGGGGTGCTTGTATATATGCATCCATAGCAAACTGAGGAGGATTCAGTTACACGGGTTATTTACCGCAGACAGTTGAGCGCTCACTGCATGGACGAGACAGGTTGCTTTCCTTTCAGCAACTGAAGCTTAGAGAAAGGAAGCCAAACACAACATGCAGCTCATTCCTTAGAACTTCACATAATTCTCACTCTTGTCATCTCTTCCTTCCTTCCACAGATGTCCGAGTTCACTGCTCAGTTGGTCCGGGCTGTTCAGACTGCCCAGAGCAAGAACCCGGCGCCAGGCAAAACCAGCGGCGTTGTGGTTCTGAATCAACCCCTCCTGATCGACACCTACATGGGTTTTATGTCTTTCATCGGGAACCGAAACAAACTTGGTTATTCCCTTGCCCGTGGGAGTGTTGGCTTTTGAAACTCTCCATGGTGGGGCGTGCTTTGTTTGTTAATGTCACTGTCCTTTAAATTCTGCATATAGCCCCATTTCTTTTAGAGGTTAAAAAGATGCAAAGGTTAAGTGATGCATAGGTCTTGTGCTGGCCCTCTGCCCAGGGGCAAATTTCCCTCCCTTTGCAAAGTTTTCCCTGGGCCTTTCAGCCCCTACTGTGTATGAATATGGCTGCGTTACAAACTCTTTACGGTGTGTGCATTAGAAATGAATCAAAACTAGGACTCCAGACCTGAACCATGCCAAACTTGGGGGGAAGTTCCGATCTGAAGTTGACCCATCTCTTGTGTAAAAACTCTACCGCAAACTAACCTGTCTAGTCCAGCCTCCCCATTGCTAATGTCAATGCAGTGGCTGCACTGCTTGTGTCTACACTGACACTTTCCGTGCTAAAATTTTAGTCATTCAGGGGTGTGAAAAAACACCCCCCAAGCGACACAAGTTTTAGCGCTGAAAAGCGCCAACACAGACAGTCCTCCCGGCAATAAAGCTTCCACCACTCGTTCAGGGTGGTTATTTTTTGTCACTGGGAATGCTCTCCCCCGGCGATAAAGCGTGACTACACTGCCCACGTCACAGCACAGCTGCAGCCGGGCTGTAAGGTGGGCGGTGTGGACATACCCTAAGTGCCCCTGGGAATCTGCATGCAAGACCTGCAGCTACCCATTGCCTCTTCAATGACCATGTTGTTCTGAAGTCTGTTTCCCATCTCAGGGGTCTAGGAACTTTGCAGCACAGTAAGTAGGTGCTTGCTTCAAATGTCAGGCCTAACATTCACACAGCAGAGAAATAGTTCCTTAACTGATCTCTGGAGGTTTACTAACATGGCCCGGAATTGATACGAGCATTTAGCTATCTGCACTCTCTCCCATGCCGGATATAGTATTTGGTGCTTGCATCTATCTCTGCCGATCCGTGCCTGGAAATGACATCCTACACTATGCTCAGTCTTGCCCTTTAAGATCTCTTGTTTTTTTAAAGAGCTGCCGTGTTTGAAATTCTGTTTGGATCACTTGGAGAATCTCTGGAGCAACCCAGTGACACGGCTGGAAAGGAATTTTCTCTGGTCACATGACACCTGGTCCAAAGCCTTTCAGAGTCATTGGAAAGACTCGCATTGCTCTGAACTCTCTACAGATCAAACCCATGGCAAAAGACAGCAGTGAAATATCTTGAAACAAATCTTAAAGGATAAAAAAATATGTTTACTTATAAACGTTTCATATTCTGCATCAGATGTTGGAATGGGGGGAAATCCAACAAAACCAGACATGTTATTTTCTGGACTTTTCAGAATATTTTAGCTAAATAGATAAGTGGATAGTATAATTGGGTCTCAGAGTTTGTTTGTTTTTAAGGATCAGAATCACAGTATATTGTCATTTGAGATTTTAATAAAATAATCTCCACAGTGGTTGTGTTTCTTTTAGGTTCCAGGTGGCCGATGAATGAGTGGACAATGTTATTGTGACGGGTTGGATCACAGAAACCCCCTTGGGAGCTGCCACTTGACGTACCAAGACTACTTCTATTCCTGTTTTCCCTGCCAGCTCAGGACTCCAGCACCCTGTCTTACTGAGCCAGACACTCCCATCTGGCTCCAGACACAGACCCAGGGTCTGAATCACTTGCCCCAAAGCTGCAAGTTTACCTGAAAACAGCTCACAGAAGTGTGCTTGTCTTTAGCACTCAGATGCCCAACTCCCAATGGGGTCTAAACCCAAATAAATCCATTTTACCCTGCATAAAGCTTATGTAGGGCAAACTCATAAATTGTTCACCCTCTATAACACTGATAGAGAGATATGCACAGTTGTTTGCTCCTCCAGGTATTAATACATACTCTGAGTAAATTACTAAATAAAAAGTGATTTTATTAAATACAGAAAATAGGATTTAAGTGGTAACAGGCAGAACAAAGTAAGTCACCAAGCAAAATAAAATAAAATGCACAAATCTATGTCTAATCAAACTGAATACAGATAATCTCACCCTCAGAGATGCTTCAGTAAGCTTTTTCTCAGACTGGACACCTTCCAGGCCTGGGCACAATTCTTTCTCCTGGTACAGCTCTTGTTGCAGCTCAGGTGATAGCTAGGGGATTCTT